ACCCTGCCCCTGGCAGGGCGGTTGGAACTAGATGATCTTTAAATGTCCCTTCCAACCTAAACCAATCCATGATAACAAAGACAATTTGACTATAAATACAAGTGGATTGTATAGTCCTGTCATGTTCTGCACTAACTGGTTACACACATCACTCCTGAAATATTTGTCAGGCTTTCCATGGCTCATAATAATATGAATAAAGAGGGTTCTGTGTCAAAATCAAGAAAAGCTAGCATATTTGTGTAAGACAGTATTTACATGCTACGTCTAGATTAATGCTGTTGGTTAGCAAAAGATGATCTTTCATAAGAAATAGTTCCCCAATAACTAATCAACAGTATCAAAGATACTTACCTCGCCAGCAAAAAAAACTTTTCCTTGTATGTCCTCAGCTATAATGTCATAAGCTTCACCGCTGCCACCCGTTTTTACAAAACTATATGCCATCTGGAGCCAAGGGTCTTTGCTCCATCGAGTAACAAAAAATTTCACTGGGTCAGGAACTTCCTGCATCATGAAAATAAAAGTTATGCACCACAAAGAAAACCTCATAATTGTATAGCTTTTTTCTCATAAACAGTTTCTTGTAATCTTGAGAGAATGCAGTAGTATTATGACACAGATCTGATCACATTCCAGAACTAAATTCCCATTTTCTTTATTATACTGCTAACCACGAAGATATTTTTGTTTGCTAGACTTGCCTGATGTCTGAAACATCACAGTTGCACTGTTTTGAATGCAACAAATCTGGATATTGTAATGCACCTAGAACTACACAAGAAGAAAAAAAAAAAAAAACAACAACCCGTCTCCTCTAAATACATATTTGTTGTTGCAAACTGATAAAATACCACTATCAACATCAGTCAGCATGTTTGTCTGTATCATTGCAAGCACTTTCCATCTTGGTAAGGCATTACGCTTTCCTCCTTCTAGCCTGTTAAATCTCAAAATGTAATCTTCATTTTGGAGATAATGTTATTCCAATGGAGAAATAACATTACTTATCTAAGACCAGAAAATGAGCTGGCTTGAAAACTAAGTTCACGGAGAAAAGAAAAAGCAGGAATTCAGAGTGTCTGTAGCTAAGCCATGTCAGTAATACCGTGTATTCCTTGTCACACTGCAGCATGTACATGCCACACAATCCCACCAAAAGGAGCCAGGGTAACGTTTGTGCAAAGGCTTAGTCAACTACAGCTGAGTCTTACTCCTGAGGGGCTTGTGAGAAGTAAACAGAAGCACCGCCGGTTGCCTCTTGCACAACATGTGATAACAACAAGCAGACTATTCCATTCAGGCAGCACACGAGAGAATAAAACCCAAGCAATCAAGACAAAGGCTAGCCAAGCACAGCAAGTTTCCTGGACATCCCAGAAGTAGTTCTGGTAAGCTCCTGGAAGCTATCTTGTCTTTGAAAATACTGCTGCATTGCAGACAGATGACTGACATTCACAACTGCTATAAACCACGGAGACAGGTGTGAAAATCACTCTTCTAGGCTGGAGTGGCACCAAAGCCAAAGACCTATTTGCTACCTCGACATTCCCATGACAGCAAAATAGCAGGTATGCGGACTTACGTTGCACATGGTTCTGGTAACTGTAAAGCCGTTACCAAAAGTATGCTTTTGGGGAAAGGTCTGGCTCTCAGATGCTGTTTTTTTCCAAGGTCATTAATCCCAACACCTGAACCATCAGTAAAACTTGCATGGTCACCCATGAACATTAACACAAGCATTCCTTGGGATCCAACTGCTCTAAGTAATTTAAGGCAGTACTGTCTATGGAGTGGAATGCAAGTAACATAGGTAAGTGACAGTCTTCTGCTTGCCCCAGATTTCTCTGATTTACCTCTTAGTTTTTATCCAGATGATGAGCTGGGGGAGGAAAAAAAGTAGAAATTTTTATCTAGTGTTTTTTTACAGTACGGATGTAGGGCCCTTGACCATTGTGGCTGTACCTCCATTCCAAGACAGCTTAGGAAGGGTTGGTTTTTTTATTAGAAGAGTGAGGGATTTGTTTGGTTTGGGGATGGTGGGGGTGGTGTAATTTCAGTTGCTTTTTACATGGAGGGAAGGGGAATCGCAATCAAATTAATCTAGCTTAAAGCTCTTACAATGTATTGGAAGCAGTGATGACCAGTAAAAAAGTTTGGAAAAAGTGACAACTAAGAAAGATGTGTATTTGTGTTACCTGCCTAAAGTACTGCTTTTAATTAATTTTCCTTTCCAAAAGCACTTCAAAGGATGATAGTTCATTTCTGTTTTTCAATTCATTACCATTTTCCTTCAGACAGATCTAAGATACTTCAATGCACATTCCTCACACAAGAGACCAAACAGTGGTTTTAGTGGATCTCAAAGGAAGCATATTCTCTCAAACTGACATGAGAAGAAAAGTAGTTTAAAATGTCAAAAGGTTTCCCTATACATCATGAAGTAATAGAATTGAAAGCCTTACCTCTGCTGGCAAGTTAATTCATCTCTGGGGAAAAAAAAAAAAGTCTTCTCTTACCTGCTCCTTAAACAGCTCTCGAAGTACAGTCATACACTGTTGCAGTACTTGTTGATCATCTAAATTCTTGATGGTTGTCACAGCATCTCCAGTAACCACTGACATTAAAATGCTTTGCTTGCCCTAAACCCAAGATATCAACATATGAGATAATTTCAAAATTACTAGGTTATTAAGTATTTCTTGAACAGTCCCTTTCAATTGGTATTGTCAGAGATTCTCAGCTGCAAGGGAACTTTCGTTCTAGAGGAAAGTGGGTTTCATTCCTTAGGATACAGGGTGAATATTCTATGGAATTTACGCTCAAATTACTAACATCCTTTCATGTCTTGTTCACAGATCTGTATTATGGTCAGCCCCTTTTTACAACTTGCTGAATTAACTTCCTACATACCTATTTAAAGGCTGGACCAAAAGATTTGGCACTTACAGTGTTGTTCTTTGAGACAGACCTCTTAAGCTCCAGTTCTGTGCTGTCCTGGTTTTGGCTGCGATAGAGTTAGTTTTCTCCACAGTAGCTAGTAGGGGGCTGTGTTTTGGGTTTTTTGCTGAAAACAGTGTTTGTAACACAGGGATGATTTTGTCACTGCTGAGCAGCGCTTACACAGAGTCAAGGCCTTTCCTGCCTCTCACATCAGACCACCAGTGAGGAGGCTGGGGGTGCCCAAGAAGCTGGGAGGGGACACAGCTGGGACAGCTGACCCCAACTGACCAAAGGATTATTACATACCATATGGCGTCATGCTCAGCATATAAAGCTGGGGGAAGAAAGAGGAAAGGGGAGACGTTCAGAGTGATGGCGCTTGTCTTCCCCAGTAACCGTTATGTGTGATGGAGCCCTGCTTTCCTGGAGATGGCTGAACACCTGCCTGCCGATGGGAAGGGGTGAATAATTCCTTGTTTTGCTGTACTTGCATGGGTTTTGCTTTACGTATTAAACTGTCCTTATCTCAACACACGAGTTTCCTCACTTTTACGATTCTTTCCCCCATCCCACTGTGAGGGGGAGGGTGGGTGGCTGAGTGAGTGGCTATGTGGGGCTTAGTTGCCCACTAGGGTTAAACTACAACACGTGCCAAAAGTCCACCTCAGCTGTACTCCAATTTCAAAAGGTGGTAACACAAAGAATCTATTTAAATACTAGTTAGATGTGGTTTGGGTTAGGCCAGTACCAAGTTCTTACCAGCAGATTTTGGCCCAAGAAATGAAAGCTCAGTTCTACTGATGTTTCCTTCCACTTCAAGACATCTGCTACCATGCAGAACTTTCAAAGATGAAGTGATGACGATAGAATAGCACACAGGTTCTCAGCTTCTTCACAAGAACTTCCCTCTCAATTATATAAGGCAATTCTTCTGTTACTAAACTTGACAGCTAGCAGAGAATAGCTATCAAGCAAATTAAGAATTATATCTAGTGTCTCTGGACAGCACCAGCGCACTGAACCACATGTAGAATGAGCTTAAAAGTATTGAAAATGTCTTTAACAACAGTCATATACCGGCACAGAGGGCATAGTAACAGAGCATAATCTTCACAGGATGTTTTCCTTTTGGAGTAAGCCATGAGGTTACAAAATGGCCTCTTAGTTGCTGCCAAGCAGTAAGCAGCAGTTGTTGTAAAAGCATGAAAAGCTAAGATACACATGTGTAATGTGTCTGCTTGGAACTGGCAGGGAAGAGAAACATGATGCCAATGCACTGATATGAATTTGTTTTGAAATCGACGAGTTTGGGACTGACCCTACAGATCTCAGCTTCATAGAAAACCTGGTGTTTGTCTTTTCTTCTGCCACTCCACACAGTTTTTCAGGCTAGTACAAGCCATTCCGAGTTAATAAGCTATCATGGAGGGGGGGTTTAAACAGGATTTTCAGCTGATTTAAATAAAATCCTAAACAAAAATCCTAAACTGGACTGGCAGACTTTTTCCCATACTGGTAATCTATAGTCAGGTATTACACACTTGTCTTCAAAACAGTTTGAGAATAAAAGTATTAACTTGCTTGCATATTATTTTGTATCCATATGTAGGAAAACATTCCCATTTATGACAATGAGGTATCAATCAGCTTTTTCTTGATAAATAACACTGCTTCCACTTAATAGCTGGGTGGGAGCCACTTCTTTTAACAGCTGGGGGGTGGGGGGTGGGTGTGAGAAGAAAACTTTCATTGTTTTGTAATTATTGCACCTAGATTCCAAACTGAATTTCTGAAGCGCCAACAGAATATATAGCTAGCATATGATACCTCTGGATCCATGTCGTAGAAAACACTAAAGAGCCCACGCTGGCTGGAATTGGGTGGAACATGACCAAAAAAATCAGCTCCTTGAATTTTACTGTCCCAAAATCTATAAGGAAACTGCAAGGCAATCTAGAGAGAGAGCGTGAGAGTGAATTAAAAGATTTTATACCACAAAACTCGTAACTGGATATGATGTTCTTCTTTTTAGCTTTTCCACTCCATTGGAGACACCCAGTTCTTATGAGAGGGTCTCAACACAGGGCCTGTTCTCCAAGGGGGGCAGTGAAGGAAAAAACCCCTGCGCTAGTCTCACAAATTGCAAATGAACAGACAGTATCAAATTCAAAATGGGATTCAGTGTGGAAAATGCTCTAGAAATTCCACAGAATTTTTACAAACCTAGCGTAGAATGCAGCAATCCCCATCCTGTGTGTGGGGTTTCTGAATCTTGCCTTTAAATTTCAATGTTGTTACAATCCTGTTTCTGGCATTACTTCTGCTTTGTTTACTTACGTTTTGCTCTAAACACACTTCTTTCTAGGGATCTTATCAGCAGAAGCTGTCTTTTTGCACCGGGAAAGGGTAGGAGATTTTATACTGGTCAAATACACAGCCTTCAGTATTCTTCTGAAATAGTTTAAGTATTAGGTTGAAACAACCTGGAGTAAGCATATTATTAGAATTTTGGAAGATCTAAGACCATCACGAAGGCTTGCTCCAAATTAGGCAAAAATGTTTAAGCAGTGAAGTGATTCTGCAAACAGTTTCCCATTAAGTTGGGAAATCGAAGAAACAGAAATACATGTGGTCGTCGGTAGCACTTTGCTCTTCTGGGCTACTACATAGAAGTAAAACCAAATGCATAATAAATCCTGAGAAATACACAGCAAAAGCAACGGGGACAAAGCAGCCCACGTTTCTATGAAGAGAAAATGAAATACAATCTGAAATGATTTACCTTCTCAATGACTCCTGCTCCCAAATTACTAATGGCTTTAATTTTTTTTTCTGACAGTGGAGGGTTAAACTGAATGGCATTTCTCTGAAGAAGGGACAGTGGTACAGTCACTAATACCTGAAAGAAATATTTAAAAATCACAACAGCAGCAAAAGCTGAATACTGCACTTAGGCCTCACAGCATCCTCTTAACTATCTTGGGTTATTCTTATGCAATATTCACCACACATCTCCAGATCAGTGTCTGATTTTACTCCCCATTAATGGGAAACACGTCTTACATTCAGGTGAGAACAGATCCTGCAGTTCACTGTTTTTAAGTTGTAGTCTGTTGAACTGCTTGTACCAGAGTGGCTAACCATGCTACTAATTTTAATACCTGCTGTAAATTATGGTCCATCACTTTCACAAAACTGGCTTTGTGAAAGGAGAGAAGATGGTCATTGTTATGGTTTGTGTTCCCTTCCTTCACAGATCCCTTCTCTTTAAAATAAGCTCAGTAACACTGTTCATGTCAATCCAGTCTTGATCTAGTTTATGTATCACTTCAAAAATTACTAAAAGCTAAATTACGCAGCATGAAGCAGGTGAGGACACAGGGAATAAGTGAGACTGAGAAATATGGGTTGTTAAGTCCTGCATCCAAAGGGAAAAATTTTAACAGCGCAGATTCACATGCTAAATGGGGTAAAGCTGAGCAGGGAATGGAACCAGGAAACGTAACTGTCGCCATCAAGGACCAGATAAAAATCTATTTGCTTCACATTTTTAGTACTACCTTTAAAGTACTTAGTTCTTCAAATCAACCTAGGGCCATGAAAAATGGGCTCTAGGACATCCAAATACAGGTCGCTAGAACATATGAGTTTTCATATTTGATTGGGAAGAAATTGGACTACATAGTCTTCTGCGGGGAAAAAAAAAGACAAATGGACGTGTACTACAGTCAGTATTGTTCCTGCCTTCCCTAAAATCCTTAATCCTGAAGCATATTGAATACCTTTTGTGTCGTCCACACTGTTCCATCTGCGGTAGTGACCTGTACTTCTTCCCCAGAATAGTCAACACTCTGTACCTATTGAAAGACAAGTTGAAGAAGATCACAAAATCTACACACACCATGCAAATTCAGACAAGAATAGACAATGTTGCACCAGTCTGCAAACTAGAAATTGAAGAACACAAATTTCCAGAGAAATAATGAAAGAAAAAAATTGCCGTCATGGAAGCAGAAAAAGTAAAAATTGTCACGATTCTAACATACAAGCTCATCATATCATAATACTTAAATACTGATAATCCTCAGAGGGATTCCAAAAATGCTGAAATTGTCCTCTCTTTTCTTAGAGACAAGTCAAAATAAAATAATCACAGGCACCGATTTGCCTGGTCCAAAAAAAAAATACAGAGATAATGATTGGGTGATTCAAAGCAATCCAAGACAGGCACTGCATCAACGTTTTCCAGACTCACTGGGAAATTCAGCCGGATGTCCAACCCTTCTGCCAATTTGTCAATCACAGTAGAATATCCCACAGTTAGTAGAGTGTGATCTCCAGCAAACTGGGCAAAAAATTCATTGTGGTCCCATGAGCGTGCAGATACCTGTGGACAGAACATAACTAGCTGTCTCTACTGGTGAGGTGACAAGGGTAATAGCAAAAGTCCCACAGTTTAGAAGAAGCCACCATAATTCCCTTCACAGCTGCAAGAAAAACACCAGCATGTATATCAACGCTGACAAAAGCAAATGGCTTATTTACCTAAGGCCACTAGACAATGTATGAATTGCTGGATTATGAAATGTCATAATATGGGTTGATTACTAGCAAGTAATTTATAGTTCTGCTTGGTAGAGAAAACAAGGAAAGTAATACAAAAATTCAAATGGACTGCAGTTTTATTATTTTACCTTTTTGTCTCTAGCAAAGAAATCAGGTTTTACAGCCTTAAGACGTTCAAATAAAAAATGGAAAAATTTTATTTCCCTAGAAAATTAGATATAAAAACATCTCGATGGAATTTTTCTGTCACTTTGGAGGTTCTTCTACGATATCTTTCACTGACTTTCTCCCCACACCCCTGCAAACTCATAGTACAATAGTGATATTTGCACTAAGCGATCACAACTTAGCAGTGGAAAACCTGAAGCAATTCTCAAACTGCTATTCGAATGTCAATTCCCGTCACTCTAGTCGCATTTACCTCATATTTTGATTTTCAAATTGAAGGTAAGATAGATTTTAACATCTTTCTCATTTCCCCTGGGTGCTCGTGAAGCGTGAAAGTGTGAAAGCTCAACATAGCAAAATATTTTCCACTGACTGACCTGGTATAGCATTGTCTTGCAGATTATTGTTATGTTCTTATACGCTTCTCAGTTCAGATCAGATTTGTGCATCTGTACATCAACCATCTTCCCCGCTACTGTAGCCAAGTTGACCCTAAACATCTTTAACCCAAGCCCCAGTAACTTAACACACTGCAACCAACTTCATACTTTGATATTTCCTGAACCTGCTTGGTTAAAACTGATGTCGCGAGGAAAGCCAAGTATCACACAGTCAACAGAATACCTAGGAGTGGTGAACTGGGGCCCACCGTCAGGGTGTTGGAACACTTCTGAAGTTAAATGCATTTATTCTCAAGATACCTAGCAAGGTAGAGAAATACCTCAGTTTTTAAACACAGAACTGAGAAGCAGAAGTCACACACAACATCTGAGGAAGAGTAACTCTCCTGTGAATCCTACCACCCAGCAAAACACCCTACTGCACTGCACCATCCACTTTCAACTCCTGCGTTAAAGAGGATGTCGCTGGAAGCGTGTCATGAACTCCCATTGGATTAACGAAGGCAGTGCCAGAGCCTGTGTCTCAATGCTTTTAAAGAACAGATTAGGGATGTAGGAACAGTTTAGGGATAGCTGACTCTTCCTTTTGGGCCATGGGATGGATCAGATGACTTCTCAGCATTACTTCCAACCCTGTTTTCTGTGATTCTCAATCACTTCAGAACACAGCTGTCAAAACGCACCTGAGAGAGATTGCTGCCACAGGCATACTCCAAATTACTGAGATGGAACTGTAGCACTTTTTCTTCCAGCTCACTGAACTGGATACCAGACTCCTGAATAAAGGCTTTATAGATCTCTTGTATTTTTTCTGTGAAAGAACATGGTTAAAGTAAGAATATATAACAACTCGTCAGAAGTCCTACTGCATTTCAATATGCGATTCTCTGGACCACAAGATTTTCAAGTTTATGGCCAAATTGCACAAAGATGTTTTTCTTCTCATAGAAGAATAAAAAACTGCAAGATCCTTCCAATTACAAAATACAACTTCGTTGTTTAATCACAGTTTTCCTTAGTAAAACACAGCTTCAGGGAAGAAAAAAAAAAAAGAGATTAAAATTATTTAAAAGAAAAAATAAAAACTGCTGTGCAACAGGACTGCTGGGATTAGCCAATGGAGACAGGAGAGAAATTGACTGTTTAGCTATCAACAATATAGAGTTGAGGTTATTTCAAGGGAAATACACTTAAAGATAATAGAGAATGCTTGCAAATAAATCCTGCTTCATTTTTACAAAACCAAAAGACCTGAGAAATTCAATCCAGAGTCCACTGAAGAACATACGAGTTACCGATTCTGTCTTTAAAAAATCCATGCTGCAAAGACTTGGGAGGCAGGCATTTCTGAGCAAGTTTATATTTTGTTGTTGAATATGCTTGCATGCTCTAAGTGTGGTGGGAGGCGTTACCAATGGAGATGGAACTATTCTTGCCAGCAGAAGGCTTTGATCAGGCTCTTTTTTTAGACAGATTAGTCAAAAAGTGTAAGAGTTATGGCTAGCTATGGCCTGCCTCAGCAAGAAGCAAATCTTTTGAACCGCTAGAGCCACTGGTTATACTGAAAAAGCTACCTCATGAAAACAAGATACTGTATGACAAGTCACACAGTATTATAAAAGCCTTCAAAAATTAGGCTTCCTTAAAAGTTACAAGTGTCATTTTGGTCAGTGTGTATACAACAGTCAATAGATCGCCTTTTGTCCTCCAAAGAGCCAGGTTATCACTGTTGGATCTAAGAGCAGATGTACAGCCATACACGTCTAAAAATGTCCAGTGTAACAGCCAATTTAATATAAAACTATGAACATGGCCAACCTCTTCACAATCTTGCAATACATCTGCCACTTACCACCAAGAGGAACATCCTGATGTTGGGTTTTATCTTTTCTCCACTCAGAGACGACATCTAGGATGGCATTGAAATGAAAGTCCATACGTTTATCAATAGTGGGATCTGTTATCCTTCCACCTTCCTGGATCAAGTCACATTTCTCCCCTAGTTTGTGCATTTTAATGCCAAGCTTAAGAAAAAGACATTTTATTGCTTTTTAAGTATAGAAGAATTACAGTGCCTTAGCCTGCTCAAAGTTATTTGAAGTAAGGTGAATCCCTCAGATTTAAGTGATGCCACTTAAAAACATCCAAGACACTAAATAGTCAGATTAAGTCAAACTTTTGTCCTCCTAAAACTAGAATACCAACAACAACCCTTCTATCCATTAATTGTCCACAAACTGTTGTTCCCCACTCTTCGATCCTTTTCTTTATCCAGGATTCTCAAAAAGCTCATCTCCAACTTTCCTATCAGGCCAGGGACAGGTACAGAGATGTTGGATCTGGTAATCAAACATGATGAACCAGTCTCCTTCATTTCTATCTCACCTTATTCTCTAAATCGTCAGTAAAAATAGTTCCTTTCGACAACTTTCTGGTGCCTGATGCCCCAACAGTTTCCCGCATTCAGAAACTGAAAAGACGTTGCTTACTAGTTACCGCCAATTTCATTAATAAGCAAAGAAAGAAATTATTTGGAATTAAACCTAGCATCTTGCTCTGCTTGTCCGACTTGCACCAGACACACAACAGAGCTAAGTCAGAATAAAGACGTTTTTATGTTCTACAGAGTCAATCTAGAGAAAAGAGCACAAATACAGTGCTAACTTCTTCCTAGGGCTTTTTGACTTAGGGTGTGCTCCAGGGTTTTTCATATATCCTCACATCTCTCCAGGCTGGTGGTCACCAACCACAGATCTCTTCTCAAGATACAGTTGTACTTTGAATGAAAGTTGACATCCAGTGGCCACAAAGGGACGGGCACCATATGTGTATTCAGAAGTCATTGCTTTTCACCTCATAACTAAAGCGTGATTAAAAAAAAAAAAAAAAAATCTTGATACCTTAGCGCACTAAACAGTTAAAGCACCATGGCTGGATTTTCATGCCTCACTGAACAAAATCCATACTCAAGTTCCACTTGCAGAAACTCAGCTTCCTGCCCGCCGCCTCCCCCCCCCCGACAAATCAAATCAATAACAACAAAAATCAAACTGCAGTGTGTTTGCATCAGTAGATATATATGCATCTTGTGCAGAATTGAACGAGAAACATAGACAGACCTGAGCAACGGCAAGTGCGTCATAGAACTATGTATTACAACAACATATCAATAGCCTCCCACAGTAAAGCCTTTCTCAGCTCTAAGGAAGTCTACCGAGGAGGGAAAAATATAGTTTCCTCTGTTTCTGAAGCTGGAGCTGCCTTGTTTTAATTTACATGACATGCCCAAAGCCACCCTATAGCCCTCCTCTGTCCTCCACTGTTATCAAAGATATAATTGCAACACAGTTTACTTACAACGCAGAAGAGGGTTTTAATCAAATCAGGAAAAAGGACTCCAACCCTTACCCAGCTGCGCCAACCTGCCTTAAACAACAATTTTTCACTATTGATAACGCATGACCACTGCAGGGAACCCACTTGCTCACACATTAGTGCCATTGGGTTGTTGACACATCCATTGACGATTTGTGCACCTCTTCCAACAGCGACTCCTTTGAATGTCGTATCGTCCCACACTCGGCCACCAATTCTGTCTTTAGCTTCTAAAACAATGACCTACGACACAATGCAGCTTAGTAAATTGTAAGATTTGATTATATTAAACATATCTGTTCAATATTGGAGGCATGCTACAGGCTATTAAACACAATGATCCGGGTGCAGTGTCCAGGTGAGGAAGTCCATACACCTTTTGGAGATATTTATTCCTGGGCTATACAAAAAAAAACCATTCTCAAGTATTTCCACCACTAGTGCATACCTCCTTAGCATCCACTAGTTGTCATAGACAGACACAGGATACTGGACCGAAAGGATGTCTGACTGACTATATTTACCTTTACTTACTTGTATTATCTATTTAGAGAAAGTCTTTTTAAGGAAACTCCATCTCTCTAGAACAGTAGAAAGCAACAGTGCATATATATATATAAATATATATATTTTATATATTGAAAAAAAAGTCCTGCCAGTTGATACTTATATATATTACTGCAGGATAGCTTTCCATGCAATTTGGTGTACAAAAAGGTTACACTGCAATTTGCTATTTAGCAACCAAAGGATGAGTTAATGGGACTATAGGATTCAGGGTTTCATATAAATATATACATATGTGACCATATAAATATGTAAATCCAGAAAGTCAGATGCTCATTCATTTCCTTAAACATCAACCCTGCAAACACTTCATGTGTAGAGTCCCACAGATTTTCATAATACTGTGATGTCTATATTTATGTCAACATGTAAATATTGTGAGATCACACTCACAATATGAGGGAAAAAGGAAATACATGTGATTTTCTTGGTTTTAATAAGCAACAAGTAAATACGGTAAAGTGCAAAGAAAATTTCGCCTCATTTAAACAGCCATCATCATCTACAGTCCCATTATTTGGACATGAATATCCATGTCTCCCTTAGCCTCCCAAGCCAAGTCTATATAAAATATTCACTGCATGCTTTGTTGAATTTTAGATACAAATAAATGCTGTTTTTAAACAGCAGATTTACAAAGCAAACCCCCAGATTTTACAAATTAATTAGGATGCCCTATACATAAATGTTTGTAACAAGAATGTAATTTTTTTTCATTTTGATGAAAAACACTTTCAAAGCAGAGGAAATCTGATTGTTAAGTAGTGTGTCTAAAGAGCCTTACCTTAATTCCAAAGTTGTGCAGCTGTCGGGCTGCTGCTAATCCTGCTGCACCAGCTCCAACAATAATGACAGATTTCTAAAAAATATTAAAAGATTTAAATAAAAATAGTTAGAAATAAAATAGAAATTACCATTGCCCACTTCTTTTTCTTCTTGACGAAGTTAAAGATACCCATAGGTTTCAGAAGTCTAGGCTGTCTTTCTTGTCCTCTAAAGTAATCAGTGATAACCTTTAAAGATGATAGTGTATTCAATATAGGAAAAAGATCAATTATAGCTTTGAAAATAATTACAATTTTAAGGACTTTGAAAGCAGATGTCTCAATTTCTTTTAACTGAAACAGATGAAGTTATCATTCAAGTAAAAAAATATGACTGAAGTCATCAGACAAGAAACACACTTCCCTTGTAATAATTTCAATCACCGATTGGGTTGACCAGTAAAAACTATTTTATGAATTAAAAACGTATACAAATACACTTAATTTGATGTTTCTGTGTGCTGTCAAGGAAATTGATAGTCATAAATATGTACCCTTTAGTCTTAGTTCTGGCAAACCAATATGGAATAGGTGTTTCCTCGCCTATGGAAGCAGAGGTGTATTAGAAGACTAAGATAAACAAAGAACCTACGTGTACTGTATATTTTTCACACAGTTACCACTCATCTGAAAAGCTTATAGGAAGCACAAATCCATAGGACCGAATTCCATAAATTTTAGTAAGAACAAAAACCTTGGTGGGAATTATCTCAGTCTGTAGCTTCCATAACCACTAAAGGCAGATGAGAACCATGTGAAAAACATGAAATGCATTTGCTTTTAGATGTAATTTTACATAAATGTTTAGAATGACAGGTAATGAGCAAAAAATCCAGAACCAAAAAAATATGACACGTGCCACATAGTTTTATAGCACTAATAACGTAGGGATTATTACAGCAACTTACATTGTGGTATTCTTTAGGAAGAAGATACTGGTCAGGACCGACTGATAAAATCCCTGTATTAATTAGCCCTTTCCTTGTCATAAAATAAAGTATCCTCTCCATTTCCTGTACACAGCGAATACGGACGAGCCCCCGAACAATGATGTGATGGATACATTTTTGAGGGGTAAGAGCCTCCTGCAAAGGCAAAACAAAGAACAAAAAAAGTGTTGATTTTCTTATATTCATTTTTTCATGCGTTTACATCATATTTAAACTGTAAACCAAATGGTAAAAATTAATCATGAATCAGGCTGCTGAGAACATTTTAAAAGCAAGTTTTGTGGAAGTTTCTTGCTAGCCAACTTTACACAGTAAGGCAGCAATTCATTAGGTTAGATTTACATGGAATAAATGTGTGCTCCATTAGTACAGTTCATTAGTACTGAAATGCAACCCTGATTGCAAAATGAATCTACCTGGTGGCAGTGCTCACAATGACATTCCAGTAAAATCCATTCCAAATAAAAAATAGATTAATATCCAAAACCTTCAGATCAATACAGACATCAGTGTCTGAAAGCTTCAGTATGTGAAATTCCAGCAATTCTACTGAAGACAGTGTCACAGAGTTAGCATAAGTGAAAAGACAATCACTTTCCTGTCCAACAGTCATATGAAAAAATAATAGCCCTAAAGCACCCATAAACACTGTTCAGAAATGTTCAAGCATCCCTTTAGAAGTTAATAGCTGGGCAGACTCAGTAGAGTTTTAGTACTTTCAAAACTTCGGTATTTTTCTGCAAAAGAACCTCCCAGACATTAAAACTCTAAACAAACAAAAACCCCCAAAACACCAAATAACCAGTCTATCTTGGAATGGATTTTCAAAAGGATAGGAGCAGTTTTTCTGGGGAGTAAGGAGATGTCTAAGAAGAGAGTTCATCCCTTTGCTCCACATCGCCCCAAAGTACTACTTGTAAGTGAACAAATTCACTATTAGCATCTCTTACCTTGCAGTTTGTGTACCAAAGAGCCAAAATCAGGTTTCTCAAAGCCAAGTACATGGTAGGGTCTCGTGAATATTCTGGGAACTCATAGAGCTCATCCAGTTCCATGACATCCGGCCTCACACAAAGTGCTTTCCCACATTCATTGGGCTGATAAAAAGGCTGGAAATACTTGTTCATGCCTGCAACTGAATAAAGACACACCAAGACCTAGTCATGTTCCATCGTACCTTCATTGTATCCTTTTCCCTCTAAGATGATCCATTGACCTCGCACAGATAAACAAGTCAGGAAGCTTTCCAGCCTCTAGCCACCTTCAGGATGATTTCATTTACATCGCACTCCTCTCTCCTACCCTCTAGACACTGCTTATTGTCCTGCTGCCTGACGGGTATGTCTTGGACCTGTCAGAGCTTAAGTTTTGCCAGAGAAACAGTATGTGCCCTCAGATGCCACGATGAGTCCAACAAGGAACGGGATCTAAACTCAAGCCTAAGGCCTAGCATTGCTGAACAGGCTCATGCAGTCCTCTGAATCCCTTTCATCGTCAACTCCCAATACTGCCCAGCGTGGGTAGTAGCTGAAAGTAATCATCTTCCATGTGCAGCACAGGTAGCTCTGTGGAACGAAGTTTTCTGTTTGTTAAGCAGGTACGTGTCTGTTGAATAGATAAGCAGATTTATTTTCAGCACCTGAGGAGAGCAAAGCCTGCTAAGATGGCACAGAAACTGAACTTTCTCTGAGTTAGTATTGAGGTATATCAATAAGGCTGAGTATGGGAATCCTGAATTCCCTTTCTCCACACCTGACCTGTACTGCAGATCCACACTCCCAGCCTGTCAGCCTCAGGACTGTCATTACCAAAAAATTAACCTAAGAAGAACCCGAGTGCCTTAAGAAATCAAATCCTTTTCTCTAAAGTCCCAACAGTCCACAGTATCAAAACCAGCAGAATCATGTTAGGTCTTGATAAATATTCATTTCCTTAAGAACGCAATGTTACCTGCAAGTTAATTTCCCATTTCTAGAAACAACGACAGGAGGTAAACAAAAAGCCTGTGCTTACTGCAGTGCTTTCTCTGCGCTTACTCCCTAAAGAAATGCCCTACGAAATGTACTACCTTTATCTTGCAAATGAATAAATTGCATCAAAGAAGTATGGAGGCAGTCACGCAGAGAATGTTTATTAGAGTGGAGAACAGATCCAGTATTTCTGAATCAGGAACATGATGTGCCTTATAAACTCAGTTATAAGACAAAATTCATCACACCTATTTAAGCAACAGAGCCCTGCAGATGGCCCTTACCAGTCAAATTAGGCACGCTCTTTAAGTGCTCTAACTTCACAAGGTTGGATTCACCAGGTAACCGATTAGTGCTGGTACAGGATGGACTCATGCCCACGCAGTCTGGATAATATGCAGCTAGAAAGGGAGCTGCCACACTGTCTTTCAGCAAAGGAGGGAGTATGAGCATGGAGTACCACCAATGGTCTGAAACTTCAGCCACTCTCTGGCCAAGCGGAGAAGTGAAGGAAAGAGGGGAGAAGAGAACACGTCAGTACTTTGAAAACGTTGGAAAACGAACCAATTCCCCCCCTCCCTCCAAAACTGAGACCAAAAAGCACTAGTAGTACCAATCTCAGAATGGCAAGTCATAAAGACAGTTTCTCTCCCTCTTTCCCCCTCCTCAGCCTGCCACAGAAAACTGTAGCATTAAACTCTTCCTCAGAAATGGAGCTGAAACTTCACAAACTCCACACCCACGTGGAAAGCAAACACACGAGAGATGCCATGACAACATACCTATGCCTTATCAGGCCCTTTATAAAACATTTACAGTTGTTAATGCATCTAGAAATCTGAACTTAGAAAATTCTAGGCTAACTGATGAGTTTAATTTAGATTCTGCTATCCCCATCAAATACCTTATAAAACCCTAACGAAAGCTAATGATTCAGCCTTAACTTACAAATCAAAAGTGCATTAAGCAAACCAAAAGGCAAAGCTTCTACCGCAGTCAACAGTAAGTTTGAACTTGTTTCCTGGGGTAGAGGTACCTCGGGTACACTTGCCAACAGTGGGTTACTGAACATCAGACCATACTAGATCTGAAACACAGGGTTACATGACCATAAACCCACTAAAACAACAACACACGTCAAAGCCCAGTTTTGTAAATGAGGGAGAGCACAGAGAAAACATGTTTTTTTGTTCTCTCGCAGCCTTCAGAAAGAGGAGACTAGCTTGACTAAAGATAGAAACCACCTGAAAGACATGTAAATTTTAGAATGGGGAATATTATTTGCAAGCTGGCAACTGAATACTGTTTTGCCTGATCAAAAAGGAGAATTAGGAGTAAACCTTGGAATCACAGGCCACAATGACACCACGAGCCACCTGAAAGCTCACTGGTATGGGAAGGGAAAAGAGGAAAAAGATGAGAAAGTAGAAGGCCCTAGGCTCTGTTGCAAATAGTGTCTGACAGTTTCCTGAGCAAAATTCATAAATACTGCCGTAATTGGCTAAAGGACCAAGAAAAGGGAAGAAATACATCATGCTTTATAATTGCTTTCATATTCTAGGAGAAATGAGGAGGAACAGCCACTACTCACCAAGTCCTCAGGCATGGAGCACTGGTCTGAGCCCTCAGTCTGAAAGAAAAGTGAATGGTATCAGACCTATTCTTAAGCTGTACAACAAAAAGTAAATATAAAAAACCAAAGTAATTTGGCCATGGCACAGTCCTTTAAATTTAAAAAACACACCAAAAATGTGTTAGTGTTAGCCTTCTGTAGCAGAGATGATCATGTCAATTAAGTTAAATAATAGAGAAATGCATACCTAAAACCACAGCACACCATAAAGCCAAAACACCCCAGAAAATGTTTCTCATTTGTTAAATTAGATAGTTTCTACTGATCAAACATTAAAATATACATTTTATTCCACAAAAGTTAGTGAAACACTGAAACAAGCAAACAGGGGGAGGAAGTAATTTTAGAGAAAAAAATCTGGAAATATTCCACATTTTCCAGAGAGACTCTTCCAGCCTAGAGCACAAAAAAAGTTTCTCACTTACTTTAAGAGGACCTTTATCACAAAGTTTCAGGATGACATGCTGACCCTTCTGATTTTCATACGGTCAGTATTTTCATGTTATATTTTTAACTATATAGATTGTATGGCACTATAAGGACTCTTTCAAATTTCAGGAGTTACCTTCACTCCAAAGCTGAAAGTTTTCATGTAAGGCCCTGTGACAAACTCACTAGAAATTAACAAAAGCCCACTGAGCTTTTCAAATGCTTTCTTCAATAACAAATCATGGCTAAACAAAACAAAAATAAACATTTTGGCGTATGTCTATACATGCTGATAATCATTCCATAGCTTCAGAATGAAGGATTTAACAATTGATGGTGCAGAGAAGGAGTATTCCTGACAGTTGTTTCTTGACATTTCCACTGGGGAAACAAAAGGCCAAACAGCGTGTAGACCTGTCACCGTGCAGCTCTCTAGGCTGTCAGATAATTGGTTTTGGCATTAGAAACATTAAGCAGCAAACAAAAAGAAATTAATGTCTGCAAAGAAGAAAAATCAACCTGTTGATAGTTTCGATATGAGCAACAACCTTCTCTTACCTTGGTGGAATTGTTCAGTTTCATACCACATCTGTAGGTTTTTGCTATCTGTGGTGTCAGCTGGATTTCCTTTGTCAGCTGACGCCATTTACCACAGTCTGGCTTTGTGCACTGCACCTACAAGTCAAAAACAATCATGTTTTTACTTGTTGCTGTCTGATTACAAATAAGATTAATGAAGCATAACTAACCAATTAGAAAGAAGGGAGATATGAGGAAGCTGCCAGATATAATTGTTTAATTTGTTCTCATGTAATACTCAGGTCAAAAGAAGGACATCTGGTATACAGAAACCTCATGTCCATCTCCTCTAAGACTGAATTTCTCCACGGAACCTAACTCCAAAACTAATTCAACACCCAGTTATATGGTCTTCGGTGAGTTTTGCAAAAATCACTGCAAAAACACATTGGTCATCACTTCAAAAATAACAAGAAAAAACCACCACTAACAAAAAATTTACTTCCATTCCAGTGTCTTTTCTTCTGCTCTCTTTTCTAGGGAAGTACAAAATTTGTTTTGGAAGTCTTTCACACTCGTACTTTCTTATAGCTGGCTCACGCCCTTTTCCCCGACAAGTCTTATTCTGCCTGAACATCATGCAGCTGCTACTTCACTAAAAAGCCACGGAAGGCTGTTCTTTGTGGGGTGTGGAGAAGGTCTCCAACAATGGAGGAGCTAATCACAACTGCCACCTTGAGCTTTTCCACAGTCCTCTAATACTAGAAAATTCCCACAAAAAGTCAGCTGACCTACTGCCTGAACATACAGTATCAAAAACTCACATCAGAACGTGATATTGAAATATATACCGCTAAATAAATTACCCTCCATCTTACCCAGTAAGGAAGCTGTTGATCAGCCATGAATGCTTTTGGACTGGGCTCACTTTTACCATTACTTGTCCAAATCCTTTTCCAGGCAGTATATTTCTCATATCCATCTTTATGGCTAAGAAGGAAGAGAAAATAAACCAGCAAGCTGTCAGAAAATTGAATATCTAATTCATTTCAAGCAATACCACTTATACTAAAACATTTTTATATCAGGACAGAGAAATAAGGCTGTAGAGTCTCCAATATTTTTCCTATTAAAAAAAGTCATGGTTCTTATAACAGCAATAAATTGCACCCTGACCACTAAGTCCTCTTGATCACGAGCACACGTTCTGATATCTAAGGCCTGGACTGAGTGGCAGGTACAGCTGAGCACGTAAGCCCCCAAAAGCCTTAGAAGAGCTGGACTCAACTCCCACTCAAATGGGAAGGAGCTTGGAGCTGAAAGCACTCTGTGAGCCTGATCAGGGTATTCTCGGCCACTGAACCGAGAGTTCAGTTAACCAAGAGTTAAATCTGCTCACTAATTTGATGTTACAGAAGAGCAAGCTCTCACGAACTCACATTGGGAGTTTGCTTTATAAAGGAAAATAGATTTATTTAAAACTGTTCTCATCATATAAAATTCTCTGATGATGTTTTCAGAAAGACAAAAGCTTCAGAATAACTGAACACACAAACCAGTCTGCCTGAAGTAACCGGTTTTGTTCACACTGCGACGTTCATGTTGATGATCAGTCCAACACCTGCAGTCTTAGCACCAATACCTAAGCCTCACTTTGAATAAAGCAAGCAGAGAGGACAAGTCTTTGTATGTACATGACATTTCAATAATTGTTACATCTGCCACATTTTAATAAGCGCTGAAAAGGCACAACCTTATACTGGCAAACGTACCTTCGGTAATAGTGGTCAAAACATTCATTGCAGAAGTGTTCCCCACAGGAAAGATGATACCATCTAGACGTATACCCATTTTTAGCACATCTGTAATGCAAGAGACATAGACAGTTTTATGATACATTTGGGGGGAAAAAAAAAAAATCTTTCTAGCACATTCTAGGACGTGAGCAAAATATTCTGGACAAGCCAGGGCTTTATGTTACATTCATGAAGGCTGACTTGCACAAGGCACTTCAGTCATAAAAATAACAATAAGACCATTTCAATTGTCTCAAACATTTCCAATTTCCAAACTAAGCAACGCCAGATGCAGGGGAGGCAAAACGTACACAATGTGCAGCTTTATAGTTGGTCTGGCCTCCAGCAACCTCCCACTAACAATGGTCAACTGGGCCTGTCTTTAGTCCCCTTTAAGCAGACGTTTCCTGAACATGAAGTATGCTTGCTCTTACAGTATGTGCTGTGACACACTAAGCGTTTTGCAAATGTATAAGAAGGTAAAGTCCCTCTCCATAGAAACTTACAGTTCCTTTACTTTGTTTCATTTTGTTCTGATATTAGTGCAGGGGTGGGAGAAGGGATCATTTAAACCAGTATTTTTCTTGTACATGTGATCAACTGAGTTATAAATGATTACAACATCCCGTCCCAGAACAACTGACAAAACCATAAAGGCAAATCTGAACACAAAACAGATGTTGCCTATTTTTTTTCACGTGACCAAGTTGGCTGTGATTTTAACCCAAAGAGAGAAAACCCTGAGGAAGCAGTTACACATTATGGGCATTTATTCTTTATTACCCCCAGAAATATCCATTAGCAAAGATTATATTCATCAGACAAGCCATCACCCTTCACTTAGAAAACTCTCATTATACTCAATTAAATGGTTCAAGCAGGAGGTAAAAAGCAGCGACCTAAGCCTCTAACTGAAACAGCTAGCCATGAAATGATCTCATCTCAAATAAATGATGTTGAAAGTATGTACCTGGGGGGAAGTGGTATGGGTGGAAATAAAAATATTAAAATAACAATTCAAAAACATGACTAAGCAGTATCTATTGGTTCCTAAATAGAAACATAATATCACCAACACGGATTGCTCAAGTGCTCCCCTCCCCTACAAGTCTCTCATGCGACTGCCAAAGCACTTGGCTTTCCTAACACAACATCCAGGATACCTTGACCTCCTGCCACCAAAGAACAATCCACACAGGTAACTAAATGAAGCACTGAATTATTTGATATCATTGGAAAATAAATACACCAAGGGAAGTTTATCTCCATTAACCAGGGAGGGAGGAATGCTATGTAATTACAGTCTGCCCACTGCATGAGGTCTAACGTCTTGCTTACTACAGATGCACCTTGCCAGAATCCTGCATTCAGTACCGCCAGGGTCAGGATGCAAGAGGACTTGTGCAAGTACACAGAAAGTCATGAGCAACTCAAGAAGAGAAAGGTCAAATAAGTACAACTCTCTCCCAAGACCTAAAATCTCAAGCTCAGAATCTCACGTCAGACTGCAAAGCATTCCAATGGAAGAATGATAAAGACTTTCTGCAGTAAATGATGGTTTCGTTTTACACCCTGAAAGCAAGTTTAGCTTCCTCAGATTACACTAATATGCTCTCACTTTCACAGAAGCAAAGCGTGTTCCAGAAGACACCACTAATAACATAAATACGGGGATTCTAAAGATACTCTGTATCTGAATTAGCAACTTGCACAGTAGATAGCTATCCACAACAGGAATAACTTCTGACACTTTCCTGGCATCTTAAGACTTGTATCAATACCTTTCGATTCTCCCTCTACATTTAGAAACAAAGGGATTTCTCAGAACACAGTTAGGATCCTAAACTTCAGCTGCAAGTTTAGAAAAGTCCGTAGAAAATGCAAATAAAAAGAAACAAACCTTTCAGCTGCACTGGCAAAGCAAACAGGACATGCTGCAGTGCATCCAGCTTTTTCACACTTTCTATATTTCTTCTCTGACGCTTCATCATCATCATCTGCTGCTTCAGCTGCTTTCTTCTTCACCTAATAAAGAATAGCTGAAATCTGACCAGTAATGACACAAATGCACCTTCTATAAAATGTCATTCAGACAGTTTTGCAGCTTGTGGATAACATCAAATGGTTAAAATGGTACTAATGATAACTTCTGTTTCCACTGTGAAATAGCTGCAGCATGAAACATCTGTCAAAGTAGGTCAGTTTTTCTACAAAAAAAAGCCCAACACCAGAAGAGTAAGGCTGGAAATACCATTTAAGTTAAAAATGTCTTGCCTTAGTCTAACTGATGCCATTGAAGAAATTATAAGCAAAGCTTCCAGTTTAAATCGTATTTTAAGCTCCATCACATGCTAATGAGTCAAGCCTCATGCATTCATTCTATTTCTCCTTCAGAAAAAAAAAAATCTTCACAAACTTATTGATATTAACTAGCAGCAATCTTATCTGCACCTCAATAGAGTAGGCATGGGGCTTTTTTTGGACTCCAGATACAAAGCTGTATACCAAATGTCTCCTCTAAGCCTCAAAGGTACTATGTATTGTGTTAGTTTAGGCCTCCGACTGGATGGGCAGACAGCTTGGTCTGGCTGTGCAGAAGTCTGTGATTGTATTTTTAACACATCCAGTATTTACAGTTTATATTGAGCATATGTCTTTTCTGAATATTGTTCATAAATGAGACACTCTACCTAAGAATTAACTAATTCTCCTTCTCTCTGGATAAGTACTCCGTGTCTAACCCACAATAAAGCTAGCTTTCTTTATAAAAATAAATTAAAAAAAAAAAAAACAGAGTTCAAAGCAATGTGTTCTTAAATTTTTATAAATACCTGTCTTCCAGAACTCCTCAGAGGAAGGTTGTCTGGAGACTGGTCTGAAGAACATGCCTTTTTTTTTGTTCGTACTCTTCCAGTTGACATTGTATTATTAGATCTGCAAAAAAAACCCGTATGCAGTAGTTCAGAAAAAAAATTAAATTGCTTGACTTTGCAGAGCTGTCTGATCACCTGGGCAGTACAACCACTCATAATACTACTTTTGTCAGAGTTACCTAGGTAAGAATCTGTTTAGCTTGACTATTAATTCAGGAGGAAAATGAGAATGAGGCATTATGGGAAAGGAACAATACTACTATTTTAAACTGAATTCGGAGTTAAGATTAGATCCTTGAGTACGTCATGACAGGCTGTTCCAGCTAAGCATACCCTGGATTTCAATAATCTTATTTGCATTATGCGAAGACCTGGACTGGAATTTGGGTTGGCAAAGTGAGCATACCTCAGCTCATAATGCTAGCACTGATATACCACTCGGAGTAACGCTTGTCCTGCTAACTATTGATTTATTGGTAGCAAGAGGTTTACACTGCAAAACACTTTTCCAAACAGCACACTGAAGAGATGTTTAATATCAGGTGAACAACCAGTTCCAAGACTTGCACACCCTCTTAAGAAAGTACATCAGAACATAAAGTCTGATGCAATGCAACTTACAGGAGATCAGAATATCACCAACTTTGTTGTTAAGCATACTGTAGGAGAAAATAAAAGGGTTATACCACAAGAGAGCTCTATAGCTGTCTTTGACTGCATCGGTGGGAATAGGGTAAAGACCACAGTTTATCGTGTAAGCAGGAAAGCATGGAATGTGGTGAAGTATGCCACAGAAATATGAAAGCATATTTAAAATGGTATTATCAAAAGCATTCCTTTCTCAGGGATTAAAACACAAATAAATAGCCTGAAGGAAAAATTAAATCTAAATGGGCTCCATCACATACAGAAAGGAAGTTGAAAAAAAACCCTTATACTACAGCACCCACATCATGAATGTACTAGGGATCAGTTTGCAATTTTTTTTTTTTGATGTATTTGAGATTTCTCAATTCCCTCCATTCCACACTGCACCTTCCTTGTTCAAGCTGACAGTGATGGACATGTAAGCAGTAGCTTCGTTCAGGAACTCTGCTAAAAGCAAAGGCAACAGGAAGAGAGAATGGGCATTTTTGCAGTATTTCAAATGAGCTGATGCAAATCAAGTAAATCAGTGCTTTACCCTCCTCTCAAGAGAGAAGAAATAGATTTGGGAGGGAAAGGGAAACCACACAGTGGTATTCACAAGTGAAAAAACCAGTTCAGACAACCCAATAGAACAGTAACTTACTTTCCTTTATGCAACACCCCCCAGCACACACATATAACTAATTAAAGCAAGGAAAAAAATAATTAAGTCAATCTTTATTGCCTAAAAAAACCCAAACCCAAAACATCACTCCACCATAACTTCCTACTGTAAGGGGGTAGATGAGGTTGGAGTAGAGAAACCAGAGTAATTTCATGAGATTTCCCTAAACTACTACATAACGCCCCAGGAAATGGTGGCTCCCCACCAACCCCACCCCCAACACGCTTTCCTTCTGGATCAGTGGCACAACGCTATCTCTCCGTGTCACCTTAGCCCTGACGCCAGATAATCACTCCTACTTGCTGCTGCCTTTGCAGTCGGAGGCCAGGGACTGCCCCAGCACCGAGCAAGGCACCGGACGACTCCTCTGGGTGACTACCAGGTGCTCACAGCTTGCTGGCGCAGCTGCGAGGCCCTTCATCCAAGAAGGGAAAAGGACACGTAGCTGTTCCGTTGCGTATACACAGTTAGAAAAAGGTGGCAGTTATCATTCACCGAGAAGTTTCGTAAAAAGATTTAAGATTCGGAGAGGCCTCCTGTTCTGAAGGGCTGAGGCCAGACATACGGAATCACATATTTTTGCTACAAGCACTATAAGAGGGGGAAGAATGAGGCGGTGAGAACGGGAGGGGGCGAGGGGGGAGGATCAGTCTATGCATATGACTGTAAGAAAGGCCATCGCTTCCAGCTGTACGCCGCTTCGCCCCACTTCCCCTCCTAAGACAAACAACAACCCCCCAAACCCAACAAATTTTTAAAGAACAGGCAAACACCCCCGACTTCACTGAGCTTTATGCGATTGTGCATCCTATAAACATTACCTTAGTGGCGGAGAAAACAAGCCCTTTAAAAGGAGAGGGAGACACGCGCAATACGCTGTCACGCTCCGTAAGGCTCCATCCGTCGGTAACGCGTGGCCTATATGGGAAACCTCTACAGTTGACAGCAAGTCGGGGGGGGCGGGGGAGGGAAGAAACCACACACACTGACACCGACAGAGGAAACCGAGAGCGCAGCCCGGCGCACAAGAGGTGGGGCGGGACGGGACCACGCCGTGCGCACACCTTTACCACTCCCCCCCAGCAAA